TATATATATATATATATTATATATATATATATATGTATGTATGTATGTATACATATACATACATATATGTGTAACTTCGTCTCTACGTATAAGTGTAGGCGATACCGTAGCCAGTACGACGCCCAGTTGCTTGTTTTTATCGCGTAACGCACTATAGTTGAGCTACCGTCGGCCGTCCCTACGTCACGAACCGACCACCCTATGGATACAAGATAAATGACGACCGAGAGAAAAGGGTCGTCGAATGCACCTGTACACGTGTGACCATGCGTGCGGATAAACGACAGATGGACAGATGGATTGCATAAGTGCAGGCGCGGAATGAACTGCGACTGCGCGCGCATACGTGCGCACACGTGTACACGATCCCTTTCAATTTTTAAATCGTTAAATACATCTATGAGTTTTGCGGACACGAGGCGCTCCGTGTAACACTCGGATCTAGCAGCCAACCTGATGAAGCATCGAGGCGAGCCGGAACACGCGCATCCAGGCGAACATCCCCGTCGATGGCGAACGACAGATAGCGTTCCTCGACGACGTGCTCGTGAAATTTTTACACTCTGTCGATGCCGATTGACGCCTCCCTCCTCCTCCGCCACGATTCGGTGTCGCCGCGTCGATCGAGCAAACGTCGCTCTCCGACTTCCTTCCTTTTGCTGCTGCTGCTGTTGCGGCGAGTACTTCATCACTGTGTATCATTATTGGCAACGATTAATCAGGATTTCCCTTTCTAATTCGATTCAAATCATTGGGATACAACCATGGGAATTAAGCGCCCCACTTTTTCATGCAGATATCTCTACGCACGCGGAAACGTTTCGATCAAACGAGCGCTAATTATCCTCGCCCTAACGCCGAAACTTGTTTTCGTCGCGTGTTCATTATCTTTTAAAAATGAATCGATCGTGTAACGTGGAATTATTCGTTCGAAATGAAAATCCACTCAAACTTCCAATCGATTCCAATCGTCCAATGGGATTGGATTATTTTCCATCCAATCGGCTTAACGATCAACGATAACCCTATTAGACGATAACGATTGGTAATTAAATGGTAAATAAATTTGAATAGTATGGATCGCTTTTGACCAAGTTGTGTGTTATTCCGAGTTTTAATGAAAATGGATAATTTTGTTCGTTAATAAAAAGAATGCTTTTAAAGAAAAAAAAGTTCCTACACGAATTTATTATAATTATAAAAAATATAACTGAAATATATATCTGAAGCTAATTTATAATAAATAAAATACGCGGAGCTCGAGGATAGACTAACGATTTTACGACCGCAGAATATAACTAGTATGGTTAAGTAATGAGATTTTCCGTATGTCACTGCACTACTTTTTTTCTCACGGCTAACGGTGAAATTCCTTTCACTGGCAAATCCTCTTTTGTTTAAGAAAGCTGTTTTACGCAACGGAGAGAGCGTTACGACCGCACGAATGAGCTGCATACGTGAAAACGAAAAGCATTATTAAATTTCCTATTCGTCTTACATCACGAAAAAATGTTCGGTTTCTTCAAAATCTCATTGCTTTTTTACGCAAATGTCATATTAACCTTGACTGTGTTTATTCGCGTTAAACTCTCACTCGGTCATGGTCAAAGATCCATTACGTGTGCATTGCAAAGTGCGTTGATATAATAATTGAACGGATATGTTTAAATTTCAAATCTCTATTCAATAAATGAGATAACGGAAAGTAAAGTGAAAAAAAAAAAAAAACAACAACAACCTGGACAATATAATACAATATAAATAATAATCGTTATTAAATATAAAAAAGTTCTATGTATTACGACTTTTCTTTGTTATAATATACTTATTTTGTCTTTTTTATTTTTATAGTTATGTGTATTACTAAGTTTCTTTCTACATAAATCAAATATATATAATCTATAATATTTCTAAATATAAAATATCACATATATATATATATATATACACTCACGTGTAATGTATGTGTAATCAACGAATGATTAAATAAAAAAAATTTTTATAGGTTTATCACTATCGAGGACTTTTTTTCCAAGATCCTACGAGTAGGTGTATAGTGGGCGTTTCAAATGTATTCTGCTTTTAGTAAAGCGCACGCGCCTCTTTCGGTCAGCTGATTCCCTAGACCTACTTTTTGCCCGATGATGCAGGCTACAAATAGATATAGTCACAAATATACTTGTGTGTGTAAATGGATATGTATATAAGTACTTCTTGTTCTGCTGTATATATATATACCTACATACTTTAGGAAACACTGTATGCCCTAAATCATGCTCTTTGCTTGAGGCCATTCTCAGGCATTCAGAAAAACTGAAAGTATAAAATGCGTTTTGCTCTTTGATCGTAAAGTTTTTTGAACATCATGTCAAAATTCTATTAGATATTATGTTAAAATTTATTACAAGTTATAATCATTTAATTGGATAAAAACAATTTGTGACTATAATTGGTAAATAAACAAATAAAGAAAGAAACATTTATTAAATAAAAAAATTAAAATGTATTTAGCTTTAAGTAAATAAAATTTTTATCGACGATATGCTCAATGTATTGTATCATTTTAATAATTTTAATAATAAAATTATATGGATAGTATGGAGAGATGATATGTTTGATCAAAAATAGAAAATCAAGATAGATTTTCATTACAGTATTCGAAAAAAACCGTTACATGAATGAATAAATCATTGTTTTCGAAACTTGCTGTGAACAAGTCATGTAATGATTACAATACTATTGTTTTTCTAAGGAATAGACAAATATTTTAATATATGTAAAATTTGGAAACAAAATTCTATAAAATAAGTAAAATAATAAAAATGCATATTGAGATTTTTCTGCAATGCTTGCATATTTGGAAGAGTCCAAACAAGGTGATATATAATATACGTTTTTGTGATACGCGCGTTTTTTGTGATATTTTACACCATAATATTTTTAAGAATAACATCGTTTATTTTATGCAAAAGCGCGGCAATTTACTTGTCATTGTTGTCACTATACGTTCTAACAATATAAAACATACAAAGAATTACAACTATGAAATATTGTATTTTAAAAAAAATAATCAATTACATAAACATGATATCAAAGTGCGATAGAAAAATGAATTTGATACATACCTGCGTGAATTTTATTCAATTCCTAATTCCCCACGAGGAGGTAAACGCGAAAACGGCTCTACTTTGTTGCAAACCGTTCTACACTGATTCGAGGTGCTTCGTATAGTGTTCTGCGGAGCTGCATTCGTGTGACAAGAGGGAAGAGAACAAGAGATAGAGATAGAAACACTGTTTTCTTCTCACTCTGTTTCGTAGGATGGATGGAGAAGTGGGTACACGTCGACGCGATCGTTTCGACGATAAAGAGAATTGGTGGGGATGTTCGTCTTCTTGGTTATGTTCTGCAGCGCCGGCGCTGCATCGACCCATCCCATACTACCGATGTGCATTCGTTTCATCATATCTTTCAAAGTACTTATCTATTTTTCCATTTTTTCACTTCATATTCATATAGATTGCTTTATTTAATAACTCTTTCAAGATTATTATAATAAGATTAATTTATATTTGCCTATATAACATTAAAATTGTATAAACATTTGCATATACTATATATATATATATTAATTTCTTAACTTTGTAAAACATTGCTGCGATTATGACACATTGCTCTATATCAAATAATATTTCGAGATATTTTCGTAGTTAGAATAATGTATTATTTTCTCAGTGAAATTATCGAAAAAAAAAAAATATTAAATATTATTATCAAAACATTATATATCATGATATATAAAAATATTTACTATGTATATGTTTATTCTTATATAACGTACATAATGATATAATATTTTCATATGTAAGTGAAAATAAAAAATAGAAATAATTTATATATATTTAAATAATAATATTTTAATCAATATTTTCATATATTTATAAATTTATAAAGGAAACTTACCTCCCATTGTTATACCAGGTCGAATAAATTGTTTGCGATGAAAACGAAGTAATTGGTGAAATTGTAGAACTAGTATTTACGATTGATTTCGAAGATGAAAGCAAAATATCACTTTCGAACGAACACAGTTTATGACATTCTTTGCTGGAATGCCAAGCTGAAGATGAATGCCAAGAATATCTCATTTTTCGACACGAAATATTGTAATCAGGACTCGAATTTGGAGAATTTGAAACACTTTTCGAACTCTTTGGATTCTTTGAAGTACCTGAATTAAATACTCGAATCAATTTAAGTCTTAAAGAATTCTTGTTTTTCACTACATGATTATTAGTAACATTTAATACTTTCTCGTCACAAGAATTGAAATTATTTTCCATCGTAATTAGAAATTTAACAAAAATAAAAACGACTTACTTTCACAAATTATCGAAACGAAATGCAAATATTCTTGGTTGAAAACTATATAAAATTTTGAATATGGTTTCATTTCCTGGCATTTTTAACCGCATCCTTCCTTATTCTTATCAAATATAAATACTTATCTAAATTCATTTGAAATGGATTTTAATATTTATAATACTACAATTAAATGTTTGCAATTATTATTTTATTTCCACTCATATTTTTGAATAGAATTTTTCAAATTTTACTATTGACAATTTTACTATTTTCTCCTTTGTGTAACAATCTTTTAATATCAGTAAAATTTAAATTCAAATTATTGGCAAGGCGTATCTCTTTATTGCCTATTTGTACTTTGACGTATTTTTGATGTTAAAAAACTCGTTCTCTGTTAATACAGAAAAAATGAATATTACAAATTCATTGTTGAATCTGTATTTTCATATTCTTGCATTACAATTTAATAATTGAACGATTTTAACAATTTATATTCATAAATAAATAATAGTGCACAATCTACATATGGCTCAGCCATCACGAGAGAGCACCAAAATATCTTCAATGATAAAGCAGAGTCGATTCTAGATAATTCTAGTTCAACTCCTGTCAATGTACATAATTACATGCATGATACACCTACTTATAATTAATAACAAGTTGTCACTATTCAGACTTTGTAAACGCTCGAGTACCAGACGGAGAATCAATGAATGAGTTAAATGAAATGTTTGCGGGATATCCATGAGGTTTGAAGTGATAATTAGTACTAAGTCCTCTTTACCCGCTGCACACGTCTAGCGTGTTTTATGATTTTTGAAAGATATTAAGCTTACTTTGAAGCTTGTTCGATATACGCAATTAAATCAGCACGTTCTTGCGGTTTCTTCAAACCAGCAAACACCATTTTTGTACCAGGAATGTATTTTTTTGGATTTTCAAGGTATTCAAATAAAGTCTCCTTGTTCCAAGTAATACCTAAAATAATATTCATAATATAGCTTAAATATTTTTATTTATTATATAAAAAATTGTTTATTAATTATTAAAAAAAATATTTTAATAAAAGATATTTCTTTATTTACCTTTTCCTTTATTCGCATCTGTGTAACTATAACCAGGTGCTTGACCAGTTTTCCTACCATACACTCCATAAAGATTAGGTCCTACTTTGTGTTTACCACCAGATTCAATTGTATGACATTGTGCACATTTTTGTATAAAAATCTAATAAAAAAGGAATCTAATGTGAAATAGTGAAATACAAATAAATGTTTAATTAATATAAAATAATAAATAATATATTAATTTTTATTCAAATATAAAATAAAAATCGTAATATGCTTCTTTCATATGATAGAATAATTAAAAAATGATAAATCAATATTATCGAACGAATAATTATTATTGTCATCGTGTATCAATTTTTATGTATGTCATGAGATTTTATATATAATCACGAGATCAAAATTTTACACGCGTTTTCGAACAAAAATTTATACTTACAAAATTGTTTAAATATGTTCAAAATTAAATAATTAAGAATAATATTAAATAATAGAAAATAAAAATACCATTAAAATTATATATTTTTTATTTTTACCTTCTTTCCTTTTTCTGGATCACCAGCAGGAATACCCATTCTTTTCTAATCTGGATAAAATTTATCATATGTAAATTTTTAAAATATAAATAAAATATTTAAATTTTTTTTCAATATTTTGTGTTTATAAGATACATTTTTAAATTTTGATTCGTTATTTCATGTTACGTAAGCATGAGACACGTGAACAAAAATTAGGTTTCGTAATATTATTGCACAAGAAATATATATGTATTAAACTAATTCAATAACTTTACTATTATGTACCATAAATTAATGCATATTTCATTTTTTGTCCAATACATGTCAAATAAATTCGACATACAAAACGATAAAAGAAAACGTTATAATTGAAAATTTATTAACATATAGATAATAATTAAAACTAAAAAAAGCATAATATAATAAGAAAATATTATATATTATAATATAAAAATATTCAATTTTAAAAATACTATAATGACATTGACATATATAGAATTCGTCTAAAGGTCAAATATACTTTTTGAATGCAACAATTCAATCTAACACAAAATTTTTATGCATTAATATCTGATACATAAAATTTCATTCTATATTTTATTTTTTATAATATTAAAAATTTTAATACATTTTTATAAATATATCGAAATTAATATAACTATTAAATAAAAGAAAATTTATACATAAAGATATTATTTTATATAATATATAATAAGTAATATATAAATAATATAATATCTTGCAATACTTTATAAAAATTTTTTAAAAAAATATAAGATACTAAAATATGAATTTTATAAAAAAATGTAATATATTAAAAATTTATAATCAAATCTATTGATATATCATTCTATAGTTTTGCAAATTGCATTTAAAATAATAGCTATTAAAAATAGGAAATTTTATCAAAAAATTTAGAATTTTTTTATTAATAAAAATATTATAATAGAAATTCGATGATAGATATTACGTAACACATTGATTTTGTATTTGAATAAAATAACTGGAGAATAATATAAAATATAATAAAAATTATTACAATCTTGTTAACTATGGGTTTTCAAGAACTATAATTCAATTGCACGTGTTATAAACGCCATGCATTAAAATTTTTGATTAAATGATTTAACGATTTATGCAATTTTTGGAAAAATCCATAAAAAACATTAATTCAATAAGAACAATGAATAAATTAATCAATATTTTGGAATATTGTTTAAAAAAAAAGAAAATCGAACTTACTTTAAGTGATTAACACTCGCGCGAGAAAAATTTTACAGACGTTTATAGTCTGACCGTGAATAGATGCTTCGATCGATGTATAACCACTGATTTCCTCTGAGCATGAATTCAGCGTATTTTAATGGCTGATGCAACAGTTTATGGATGTTCAAAGTGTTTTTCTAGATGGCGCTTAAATAAAATTTTAACGAGATTTTTCTTTGATTGGTTAAATAATTTGCGTAAAATTTAAATTTGGTTGAAATTAATTTTTATTATATTTTTAAATGACCATAGATAAATAATAAAATTTATATATTTATAAATTACAAATTACATTATGTTTGATAATTAATTAAATAAAACATATTTTTTCTATAATTTTATTGAATTGTCTAAGATAAAATAATATTATTAATTCAAAATTAAAATTTTAATTTATCTTAAAATCTTTTTATTTATATATTTATATAATTTATAATTTGTAAAAATATTATCAATTTACAGATAAAATATGTATAATTATATTATATTTCAATAATAACAATTTTTATTGATACATACTAAAATGAACAGTTTAAATTAGATTGGTTTTCTTATCTAGAGATTTAGTTGAACATATTCTATGATTTTTATACGCGTGCAAGCATTATTAAGGAAAGAATTATAAATATGAAACAAGTACAAATTTGATCTTTTCTGTGAAAGATAAAAGATAAGAAGTCATGGTAAATGTCACGAAAGGAATTTTAGTCGAATGGTATGTATATAAAATAAAAAGTTAAATAAAATTTTAAATATTTCTATTCTTTGTAATCTAAATCATCAGGAATGTTGAATTGTTTATTAAGACATCCTTCGGATATGTCAAATTTATTTTTACACCAACTTTGAATAGCAAAAATATTATCCGTCCATTTATTTGTAGCTTCTTTATATTCCTGAAAAACAAAAATTAATCAATAAAAGTTTAAAATTTTTAATCTTAATTTTTACAACCTTTGCTTTTTCTACAAGTTTAGCTATAATTTCTGGATCAGCATCACTGAATTTAGTTATTTGTTTTTTCAATTGATCTTCTTTGGCCTTTAATTCTTCTAATTCATGTAATAAAATTTGCCTTTCCTCTGTATCTTCTCTTCCTATCTATATATTTTATTGCAATAATAAGAAATATTAAATGAATATAACCTTTAAATATTTTAATTTCATATTAACTAATCTTTTATAATATTTCATTTTATTATTACTTTTTCTTTTTCGCAAGCTTCTTTAAGTTTTTGAAGTTTAAATTCTGCTTCTACTATTTTCTTTGAGGCTTCAGATATTCTTTGTTCTATTGCAGTAATATTTTCTCTGCATAATATATTTATTAATTATTTTGATATTGTATCATTAAAAATATAAAGTATAAAATTATATATAAGTGTATTTTGTTCCTACCCTGGAAAAGTCCAGAAATATACAGAAGTACCAATCTTTTCTGATCTAACCAATCCATCATCTACTAAAGTTTGAAGTACATCTTTTACCGATTGTGCAATAATACCTTTTTCTTTAGGTGCAATTTTTTCTAATTCTTTCAAAGTAAAAAATTCTTTTTTTTCATAAAATAAATGAAGCATTCTTATACGCTTTTCATCAAGAGTCAATCCTTTCCGCTTAGACATTTTATTTAAATAACTATAATAAAATAGCAAATATTAAAAAAAAATTCATTTATTACAATTACAGTGATGCTGCTATGAAGCAATTTCTTTTACATTTAGATGAAACATTTGCTTTGGGACGAAAATTTATTATTCAAGATTTAGATGAAAGACATTTGTTTATTTCTGCTGATATCTTGGATACCTTACAGACAAAAGTAGATGATCTTATGGATCAAATATCATTTCCTTTAGCAGAGAAAGGAATATAAATATCAAAAAATATTTTTCTTTACAATATATCATAAAATAGTTTAAGAGATTATATATTCATTGTAAATCAAAAATGGCTGCACGTGAATCTGGTAGAATAAAAGATGCTTATCAAAAAAGAGTGCTTGATGAAGCTGCTCGTAAACGCAGACAAAAAAAAGCATTGGAAGCTTTGGAACAAGATAATTTTCATGATGATCCGCATGCTGATTTAGGTATATTAAATATTTTTTACAATTATGTTCATTTTATATAAATCCAAATATTATATCCATATATTATTTTCTAATATTTTACAAGTATTATAAATGTTTCAGTAATGAGTAAAAAAGTTCCAAAATTTCAAGAAACTTTAGACAATAGAGGTGGTAGAAGAAAAAAAACCAGATCAGCAGAATATTATAAGCAACGATTTCGTAAAACATTTGCTCAATTAGTAGAAGAAGATCTTAATATTAATCCAAATCCTCCTAATTATGCATCTGCTCAAGCACCAGCATCAAGATTTCCTGAACGACAGTTTTGTGCAGTTTGTGGATTCCCTAGTAATTACACGTGTATTCCTTGCGGTGCTAGATATTGTAGTATGAAATGTTTAGGTACTCATCTTGATACAAGATGCTTAAAGTGGACAGCTTAATAAATGTAAAACTGTTACGAAGTATACATGTATTTCAGTATTAAATAAAATTAAATAATTAATAATAAATAATAATTAATAATAATAAGCAAAATTAAATACTTATTTTTTCTATCACAAATGTAATAAGTTTAATATGTATAAGAAAGAAATGTTAAATAAAATTGTATATTTATATTTTTAATATTTTGTATTTTTTTATATATTAAATTTTTTAATATACAAAATAATACATTTATAATTATCAGAAAAGATTAATGAAATTTTTTTTACACTTCATTAATTTGATTATTTTGCAATAGAAAAATGAAAAATTACTATCTCAGAAAATTATTATCATTAATTCTTTTAAAACTTACCTGTCACAATATGTATGTCATTTAATAGAAATAATTAAATTTTTTTTAACATTACTAAATAACACTGTATATTTCTTGTTGCTATGTCGCATTTATAATAACAATTACATTTAAGTTAAATATAGAATAAACTTTATCGTATAATAATATTATTGTACAAAAAACTAATTCTTAAATAAAATATTTAGATTATGCCCAATTAAATAAAAATGCAAAATAAAAAGAATGAATATTATAATATCAAAAATTGCTGTTTTAATCAACGAACTGAGAAATATGAAAGCCCGAAATTAAAGCGGGAACGATTTTCATTTTATAAAAACAATAGCCCTCTAGTGGAACTTAGAAGAATCTTCATACTGTGACGAAAGAGACAGCAATAGAAAAGTAGAAAAACGTCTAGTGGAAGGACGTATGATCGTTTATAATTATGTGAAGTTTAAATTCGTGAATGTAATATTTGTTCCGCCTAATACACGGACGGATTAGAACGAAATTGCTACGTGAAAGTGTTACATATTCGAGTATATCTTATTGTGTTGTGGACTGGTTATTGTATAGGTTATAATAATACATAGGCATGTAAAATGTCATAGATATAACAATTGTAAAAGAAGAGTGGCTAATAAATTATTCTCCTGTTATTTCCAATAAATGTACGTATGCCTTATATGAGTTGTATTTTATGATTCTTTCGTATGTTCAAAATATTGATTCCTGAAATGTTATAAGTTTCCTCGTTAATTAATTAATGAATGTATTAATACCTTAATGTAGATATAGTTAATCAGGTAGAAAATTGTTCAAATTTAATTTAATTATACAAATACTGTCTTTGCTAATATTGCAGTTTCAAAAGACGAACGAATATCCCGATTTGTTGGTAAAAGCGCGAATTTAGAACATTCAGTTTTCGCAAACACATTCTGCCCTCTACCGATCTAGACGAGTACCTTAATACGATGTTTTAAGTATCGCGCGAAATGTTTGTTCCAAATTATTTTGATTTTCGATCATTTAACAAAGTATTGAGAGGCTGCATCTATATATATATATGTATATATATATATGTCATTCAGTGTGATGTGAATTTTCCTGTGATACGATTAATCCGAAATTTTTAATTGCGGATTTTCGAATGAGAAAGAATAGGTAATCGAAGGTAACATTTATTTTAAGAATGAAGTTATCGATACAGTAGTACAATAGAATTTTTATCAAATAAATAAAATTAAAAAAAAATAAGACATTTGAAAGTTTTTTTAAACATCACGATGCATGTTTTCGTACACTATATTTTTCGTCTTTAGAAATGTTAATATTAATATTATCATTGAATCACAATGTTAAAACTTGTATATCAAATATAAATATAATATAAATGTAAATAATAAATTATTTTGGTATAATCTTTCTTTAAAAAATTTATTTTTATGATCTTATATGTTTTTGAATTTACAATTATAGAACGCATATTAAAATTTCTTCTAAAAAAAAAAAAATTCGAATTTTATTTGTATTCTCCACTTTATTCGAAAAGTGGATAATATAATACATTTCAAAATGTTATAAATATAAAATAAATAAAAACGTCTTACTTTTAATCGAAATCCCTTTTGAAGAAGATCATTCAATTTATACTTTCAATTATACTTTAATTAGTATCGTAATCTATAAGTAGATGCAATATATTCTCTCTAGGACTATATTGAGCTTCTTCATCAATTGAAATTTGTATTTATAGACGGAAGTAAGACAGCCGAAGATAATTAGATAAGTTTCGATGACTGGTGGCTAAGGTGGATATTGCAGCGAAGATAAGATCTTTGCGAATCGTGCAACTCTTTAATTGCAGAAGTAATTACTGCATACCATTCAGTGCAATAACGATGACGACCTTAGACTCACAGACCGATAAAACTTTAAGCAATCTTGATAAGCTTTCTAACACGGAGCTAGCTGAAATTCCATCCGATCATGGACTTCCTGTTGGAATAAGCCCGTTGGAATCTCGGGTAGCCGGACATCCGTCGTTAGACATCGAACGGCAGACGATTGGTAAGCACCTAATCGAATTAAATGCCGTGGAAAATGAAAGAAAATAATTTTACTACGATTATTTTAATATTTCATTTAATTTGATTAAAAAAAAAAAGATACAACAACATAAGACGCTTTATTGATTTTTTTCCTTCTAAAGAAATAATTTCGATTTTTTTTTTAGAAGAATACATTATATATATATATTCTTCGCCTTAGTTTGCTTCAATAAGTAAACGATAATTATTTTTTTTATTATATTAAAATAAAGAAGAAATAACGGTAAAATAAAATAATAATTCGAATTAATAAATCGTATTTTCAAGAAATCAATTATAAAATTCAGGTATCTCGTATAATAATCCGTGACGAGTGTATACATTCTCTATTATTTATTATTCCATACTTATTGCTATTTACTCAATTGGCTTGTTATAAATTTCTCTCATTTAAAATTCTATATTTATATGATATATATATATGTATTTTTTCTTATCTTTATTATTATATCACGATCGATGTAATAAAGACATTAATAAATGTTGTAGGCATGTTACGTAGATCAGACGGCCGTGTATATAAACCTGTTGTTAAACCGTTACTTGGGAAAAGGGAAATCTCGTTTTATGAAAATTTACAAATATCTCAAGATCCTGTTATGTTACAATTGAAAAATTATGTTCCAAGATATTACGGCACAACAGAGTTGCAAATTTTTGGCAGACGTAAGATATCAAAAGTATCGAATTTTTAACTTGTCTACATATAATACTCTTACATTTTTCATCCTCCCTTAATTCTATTTTTCATCATCGTTTTTTACGATCATAATTGTATTAAAAAAAAAAAAGAAAAAAAAATCATTTCAAGTAGATAATGTGAAAGATGATACGATGCCAACGATTATATTGTTTCTCGAGACCAAGATATGTAATTATTTTTTCGCAGTTAAAGATAAATATTTAAAATATACGATCGAATAATTTTATATAAGATGAATATATATATATATACACGTAAACTCGAATGTAAATTTTTTTTTAAAATTATTTCTTTCCTTTTTTTTCTTCTTCTTCTTCTTCTTCTTACAATTATTGTCACATTGATATTTCTTACAAAAGTAATTTCTAACTTAAGTACTCGTTCATTTATTACGAATGTATATGAAACAATTGGATGCTTTTCCGGCTAATTTTGTTTATCTTTAACGTTAAAGAAAATAAATAAATATTTTGCTTTTTATCGACTCTCGTGCGTAAAATAGAAGAGAATAGATTGTAAATATCTAATATATATATATATATTGATAGAAATTCGACGCTTAGCATATTGTTAATTTACCATGCATGTATTAATAAGTATTAAAGAGTTTATCCCAAGATTCTCTACCTACACTTAATTGCTGAAAAATCTCGGTTACGTACAGTTTAACACAACATGATTAATCATTTTCGTAAAATATTAGGAGTAACATTCCTTACGCTGAAAGATATTACCGATGGTATGGCGGAACCGTGCGTGATGGATATAAAAATAGGTAGACGAACGTGGGATCCTTTAGCCACGCCAGAGAAAAAGGCAACGGAAGAGTTAAAATACGCCGAATCTAAACGCACTTATGGATTCTGTATAACCGGCTTTCAAGTATATTGCGTTTCTTCCGGCCAATTAAAACAATTTGGCAAACATTACGGCAAGACTCTCGATGCTAAAGGTGTCGTGGAAGGTATATTATTAACTTGTTAATTATTTTATAGGGAATATATATATATATATATAATTAAAAAAAAAAAAAAAAAAAAAAAAAAAAAACTAACTATAG